TCTGGTCTGAAACCAACTATAGTCCAAAACTAAGACAGTGACAATACACTGATCCCACTCGGCAGAACACAGAAACTACTTAGCATGGTCACTCAAGCTTAAAACAGAGGCTGTGGGGCCGGCGCTGTGGCACAGTGGGTTAACGCCCTGGCCTGCTGTGCTGGCATCCCATATGGGCACTGGTTCAAGTCCTGGCTGTTCCACTTCTGATCCAGCTCTCTGCTAAGACCTGGGAAAGCAGTAGAAAATGGCCCAAGTCCTTGGGCCCCTGCACCCACATAGGAGACCTGGAAGAAGCTCCTGGCTCCTGGCTTCAGATCGCCACAGCTCCGGCCGTTGCAGCCAATTGGGGAGTGAATCATAGGATGGAAGACCTCTCTCTCTCTCCCTCCCTCCCTCCCTCCCTCCCTCCTCTCCTCTCCTCTCACTGTGTAACTCTCACTTTCAAATAAATAAATAAGTCTTTTTTAAATTTTTTTTTGACAGGCAGAGTGGACAGTGAGAGAGAGAGAGAGAGAAAGGTCTTCCTTTTGTCGTTGGTTCACCCTCCAATGGCCGCTGCAGCCGGCGCACTGCGCTGATCCAATGGCAGGAGCCAGGTGCTTCTCCTGGTCTCCCATGGGATGCAGGGCCCAAGCACCTGGGCCATCCTCCACTGCACTCCCGGGCCACAGCAGAGAGCTGGACTGGAAGAGGAGCAACTGGGACAGAATCCGGCACCCCGACTGGGACTAGAACCCGGTGTGCCGGTGCCACAATGTGGAGGATTAGCCTAGTGAGCCGCGGCGCCGGCCTCTCCATGCATTCTTTCCATGAAAGGCATCGCTGTGTAATTCATACGCTAGACCACTAGCACAGCCTCCCATTTCCACGTATTTGTGGTTCCTGAGAGCAGAAAGTACAACAGTGAGCTTTGTACATTGATTTTATAGCCTCCAAATCATTACATTTTGTTCCTTATGATAGTTTTGAGTTTCCCACATTTGCTAGATGTGGATTTTTTTTAAAACAACCTTTATTTATTTTTTGGAAAGTCAGAGTTACAGCAGAGAGCTGGATGGGAAGTGGAGCAGCCAGGACTGGAACCGGCGTCTATTTGGGATGCCGGCACTGCAGGGGGTGGCTTTACCGGCTACACCACAGCGCCAGCCCGAGATAGATACATTTTGCTACCTGAATTAATAATTGTGTGTCACTTGCCCGGGGCGTTGTTGAAAACTCCCCACGTCGCTCTCAAGGGTCCTGTTTAACAGAGCTCATCAAACGCAAGGAGCCCCCAGAAGTCCCCGGAAAATGCACATTACAAAAAAAAAAAATGGCTGGATTTTTAGAAAACGTTTATACCAAACCAAACTTACCTCTTTTTTTATTTGAGAGAGAGAGAGAGAATATCTCTCTTTCAATGGCTTACTCCCCAAATGGCTGGGGCTGAGCCAGTTTGAAGCCAGGAGCCAAAAACTGCACCCAGGTCTCTCACGTGGGTGGCAGGCACCCAACTACGTGAGCCCCGTGAGCCCCGCTGCTGCCTCCCAGGGCGCACATCAGTCAGAAGCTGGAGGTGAGCCCACAGCCAGGACTCCACCCCAGGCACTAAGATGCGGGAGGCGGAGGGGCAGTGCCGCCGCGCCAGACGCCGGCCCCTACATTACCTTTTCATGCCCTTTTCATTATCAGAAATAGAAGTTCATTCGAAATGATACAGGGAACTCTCGAAACGGCTGCTGGGATAAGTGCGAAGGACAGGAAGTGGTCTGGGGGCAGCAGAGAGGGGCTGTGTCCTTGCCCTGGCATCAGAGAGGAGGGGTCGCCGAGAGCGGGCGGTCAGCGAGGGGCCAGCTCAGGGACAAGGCAGGAGTCTGAGCTGCACCTTGAACTTCTCCTTGCTGTCTTGACTATTTTACTCCTCTCACTTTTTAAGACTGATTTATTTGAAAGGTAGAGTTAGAGAGAAGCAGAAAGAGAGAGAGAGAGAGAGAAGTCTTCCACCCATTGGTTCACTCCCCAATTGGCCACAATGGCCAGAGCGGAGCTGATCCAAAGCCAGGAGCCAGGAGCTTCTTCCAGGTCTCCCTTGTGGGTGTAGGGGCCCAAGCAGTTGGTCCATCCTCTGCTGTTTTCCCAGATGCATTAGCAGAGAGCTGAATCGGAAGTGGAGCAGCCGGGTCTCGAACCGGCCATTTGGGGGGTGAACCAACAGAAGGAAGACCTTTCTCTCTGTCTCTCTCTCTCTCTCACTATCTAACTCTGCCTATCCAAAAAAAAAAAAAAAAAAGAGCTGGTTCTGAGAAAATTATGAGACGCCTTGCACCACAGTTGCCCGTGGGCCCCAGATCCAGGACTCAGCTAACAAAACTGGGGGTGGGCTGCGTGGTGGTGTGGACGCACCTGGCAGACCAGGTGCTGGATGATGGGGGGCAGGGCGTTGAGTCCAAAAGGAGGGGAAGTCAGAGAAGCAGGCTTCGCTCACGCACACTCACACACAGGACTGGGACTCCGATGCCCACGGTCAGGGCCCGACTGTCCTCGCGCCCGATCCCGGCTCCCCCTGGTGGTCAGTGTTGGGAGCGCACGCGCGCACTCAGCGCCCCTTGCAAGGACCCAGGGCAGGCGCTCATTCCCCGCGCAGAGCCTGCCCTGCGGGAGTCCCTGCTCTCATCCCGCACACGGGGGACGGGAAACGAAAAACAGAAAACCAGGCCTTGCGCTCGGGAAGCCCCCGCGGACGCCAGAGCCAGGGTCCGTCTCCGACTTTATTCGTCTCTGGGACTTCTGGGCAAAACCCGCACCGCCTGCACCCCACCAGAGGACAGCGGGGTCTCCGCGGTGCTGGACCACGCTCCCAGGGGGCGGGAGGCTGAGGGAGGCCGCCAGGACCAGGCTCCCAGGGGGCGGGAGGCTCCGAGGCCGCCAGGGCACGCTGGGCCCATGTACCTCTGCCTGCTTCTGCCGCGTGTGTCTCCTGATGACCTCATAGCTAACTTTGCTGGGAACTGCAGCCTCAGGGCAGGAACCCAGCACTGAGAAGGCTCTGAGCCCCGCCCCGCCCCGCCCTCTCCTGCGGGGGCCCTGGAGCTCCTGGTGCCTGGCTCCCTGCAGCTCTGCACCGGGTTGGGTGAGCAGGGGAGGGGCCATGCCCGGGGCCCAGATGTTCCCCAGCTTCCCAGGGAGCCCGGGAGGTGCAGCCGCTGTGTCAGGGCAGGCAGGGTTGAGTCAGCACACGCGGAGCCAGGCCTGTCAACCATCCACTCCCTGCTCATTCCTGGAGTTGGACTCTGTGTTCATTGATGCTGGGCCACAGTGCACTTAGTGCCAGGCCTGCTTCTCTTCCCAGTGGAGACCTGGAGTGGGCGGGGCCGGGGCAGGGGCTTAGGGCACCAGGGAGGGCTTCCTGGAGGAGGGGACTTGGAGGGACCTGGGCAGCCCAGCTTTGCCCTCTCCTTGCCTGGGCTCTCAGGGTAGAAGGTAGGGGAACCCACAGAAGGAGCCCATCCTTGTAACCCTCTTCCTCCTAGGGAAGTCACTCCTAGGCTAGCCCGCCCCTGGGGGCTTAGCCAGCTTGGGCACCAGCTTATCCTGAACCCTAGGCTGCTGTGGTCCCTGGATTCCTGCCTGTGAGGCGTAACC